TAAATAATTACTGCCGTCCAGTTTCTTGACGTCAACAACGTATCAAATATTTCCAGGTGATAAAAGGTTTGGTATTTTTCTATTTTTTTAACTTCACAGTTTCTATCTAGCGAAATAGAAGTCAAATGACCCGTAGCAAAATTGCCAAATAACTGAATATATTTGGCAGTTTAGTAAATTGTCTCTCAATAAAAAAACAATCAGGCGGACGCTTCTATATTTTTACGGTATTACAGTTATCAGAGTCTAGGTGATTACGTTATTTGATGGAACAGATTTAGGTCTGAAACAAAAGTTGTTCCTTCCATGCTTCTCCTGTCTTTGTTGTATGGTTGCCTAAAAGTGTTCGTAACACTTTATTGTCAACTCATTTTTCAAGGACCAAGCGTGATTTTATGAACTTTTTGGATATATTTTTGTCTGTGTATCGTTAACAGCGCATTAGTTTGATTTTTTGCTGATATCTGTTGTTTTTGCTACTGAACTAGTCTGTCTTTGAGGAAAATAAGTCCTTGTGCTCTACTTTAAGGAACAATAAACAGTAAGCAAATTTTTTGGTATTAAATTTTTTCTTTTTTTTTTTTCTCGTTGTAGCTGGTTCGTTTGGAAAGTCATTCTCTTTAAGTTACTGTTGAGGATAATGACCAAAGGTTTGTGCAAAAAAATGAATTTTTGTTTATCTGAAACAATAATTTTAAAGATTTTATCCTCCTTCTTTGTTACTACTGCGCGATTATCAGCCAAACTAAAATAGTGGCGAGAAGGAATTGTTCAAGATACGAAAAAAGGAAAAGAGGATATTTGAGTAAATTAAGGCGTCTTGTCTCCAAATTGGTTTGCCAGACAATTCGTAGGCATTTTCATACATTCTTTTTCCGTTTTCTTTCCTTTTGCTGTTACTATTACCGTTGCGGCTATGACTGCTAATGCCATGCACTTGAATCTTAGGCATTTTTAGTCAACTGGAGTTTTTTTTATGATAGCAAATTAAACTCAGTAAGTTGTTCGGTACCGCACCGGCAATATTCTTGCGAGTTTTTGTCTGTACGGTTAATGAATTTTATGTGTGTATTTGTGCGAGTTAGTGAGTGTGTCTGTGTATCTGTGTGTTTGTGTTTGTTTGTATGCATTAGAAGTGATCAGAAATTAAGAAAAAAGCCCATTAGCCAAGCGGAAGTCTGAAGAACCTAACCGCAGTTGTCTTATCCACTTTTACAGAAGTAGAACCTTTGCAGTACCGACCCTCATCGTTGTTATTTTTTCCTCATCTTCATTTTGGTGTTTATATGGGCTTTGAACTTATAGTGATGATGATGGCATTTTTCTTCACATCATGGTGGTACTTTTTATACATTTGCTTGTCATTCGGGCATTACGAAGATGCCAATTTTTGTTGGCTCCAGTTTTTAAGCCCTGTTGTTTGAACACAAATTAAGTTGTTGATATATAAATTTAATTACAAAATTTACATAAGACATTTCAGCTGCTAATCCAAAGAACTTTTCGAAGGTACAAAAGAAAACGTAATTTATACTTTAGCAAAAAGGGTTCTTTCATTACACAATGTTTTCGACCTCATTTTCTATTTTGCTCCTTCTTACCTGCTTCATCAAATAAACTCAACCTTTAAGAAAATTATTTGGTCCTTAATTTTTCCCCACTGCTGCATTTAGTCGTTCTTCTGTGGATCTAAATTGGTGTTGAGAAGTTGTAGCAGCAAATAACCTCGTTGGTTGTTGAATATCGTTTTCTAGCTCATTTTCAAACTTTTTTCCAAGGTTTTGTTGTAAACCATATTTTGCACCCAATTATGTATCTTTGTGCTACGTTCTGAAATTTTTTCTTTTTTTTTTTTCTACACTAATCAGTATTCATAACTTTTTTAGTCTGAAATAGGCAGATAGTGGTTAGCTATAACCAGTGCCGTGTGATATCTCGTAAAGCGCGGTTGCTCATCACTGAGAAAGCGAAAAGATTCGCTAAAACTGGGGCAACCTCCTTCCTCCTGTACCTTACCCACTTAACTGAACATCTAAATTGTCTTCTTTGCTTCTTCTCCTCTCATTCTTTTACTGATTTATTTACTATTCGGTACTCCATTTGCTTATTAAAAAGCGATGCTAAAACTGCATTCATAAGTTTTTATCAAGAAGAAGCAATTTACATCACGAAGAAAAAAGGGCTGGAGAAAAAAACCTGTGTCAGGAGCGAAGAGAGTGGTAGCAGCAGCCTTTGTAATAGAAACAAGAGAAAACATTCGGCTCTATAAGGTAACAAGTGACTAACAGAATTTCTTAATGCTATCATTAAAAAATTTGTAAGATTTTATTGCTTTTAAGAGGCATTGTAGGTTTCCAATAATACGCTTGATACTACTTTTGGTCGCCACCAAAGGAGTTAAAAGAAGGAAAGTTTCAAATTAAATATTTCACTGTTTTCTCTATTTACCTGTTTCTTCCCTTAAGTCGTCTTATTTTCCCAGTCAATTTATAAAGCTTCTAATAGTTTGGGAAAGGCAAAAGAAGAAGGACAAAGAAAAACGATAAGGCATTATTTAAGACAGCCATCAGTACTGCTCTGGCTGATATATGGGCATTCTGTCTACATGAAATCGCCAAAGCAACTACTGCGTGAAAGATGTTTTTGTTGTTTAATTCTTCCAGAGGAGCTATAGAAAACAAAGAGGGTTGCAAAAACCGAAAATAGAGGTCAAAAGATTTATTGAACTCCTGTATTTATGTAGTTGTACGAGTTAACGACGATGAGAGATATTCTTTGCTACTTTTTTGTCGCCCTAACCAAGATGCATTCGGTCAATGTTTGGTGAAGCAAACGCTTATAAAACATATTTCAGTAAAGCTAATATTGTTTAAAAAGCAGGTTTTTTCTCCTGTTTTGCGGTTTTTCTTTTTCTTAGAACAGGTAAGGTGGAATTATTTGGAACAAGGGGGATGAGCTGAATGCGTTTGAGGAGGAGAAAGGCGGAGTGAGCGAGTGGTTAGAAAGAGTGAAAATAAGCTTGCTTGTTCAAGTCGTCTCGTTTTGCTGTTCTCCATATACTCTCAGGTTCTTGTAAAATGTAATAAAAACTTATTTTTTTTCACCAGTTTCTATGTGGTAGAAAGTTACGGCTGGAAAGAGGTTGAGAGATGTTATGTCGCTGTAGCTGTTATGTCTTCGTAGGACATATGGTACGACGACTTGTAGTTATGTGATATCGGTGAAATGGAGGTTGAAATTTTATTGTGGGAGGGCTTCGTTTTTTTCCTGTCAACCTCTGTCTTCTTCAAGCTTGGCTATAAGCAAAAGGTTCTAGTTATTTTTAGCGTCGTTTCCTCAAAGTTTCTTTGGCTTATTAGTGTCATCGTCGGGTGCCACAGTTTGCATAATTCTCACAGCTGATAATTAGAAAATTGGATTAGTATAGCAAGCACAGCTTTTTTTAAAGTTAATATCGTGGATCTTACAGGTCCTTTTTTGGCTAAAACAGGTGAATGGGAAAACAGAGGGAATGTCAACAACAGCTTTGCCCAACTGCCCAATTTTTGTTAAAACTATGCTAGACGAGTTATTTTTCAATCATTAGGTAACAACTGAGGCTATCAGTGGCCCTTAGTCTTCCAAAATTGTCAGTAATTGTTTTTATTTTTGTCTTTATTCTTTTTTGCTCTGCTTTTTTTTTTTTTTGCTTTTAATACATCTTAATCAGTTAAATGCTGATATTAGTCTGCAAATTACATCCAAACGGCTATTTGATGCTTATTTTGGGAAATTTAGCTTTAACTGATGATGATGGTGATTGCCCGTTAGGATAATGAGTCGGAATCGTATTATTTTGTATACGTATTGTGAGAACTAATTGAAAGTTTCTTCAGCAAAGTTTTTAAAGCGGTGGCATAGTGGCCTTATCCAAATTCGCTAACTTTGAAACTAATCGTGTTAATTTTTTCATTTTCACCAAGTGCTTAGTCGTTGTTTGTATCTGCTTTAAAGTGGATCGCCCGTAAGCTTTTGCTGAATTTCTTTTTGCTGCCAATGCCCACATTAGAATTTCTAAAATTAGCAGTGACAGTGAATATTCAGTGAGTTAAAGAAGCTGATTTCATACGTGACCTTGAGAGATTTTGTTTTTGCCATAATAAACCTGTGGCTCAAAAGTGTTCTACTGCTTTAAAGTTTCACTACAAGTTTGAAATGGACCGCTCCGTGATAGCGGTGCAAACGCCAGTTATATGAACTGCGCGTTTCTCAAAAGCTGCTTTTTCTTCCTCTAAAAAGAGAGGACTTTTTGGTAAATCAGCAGACAGTTTAAAATTCAAATGCACTCAAATTTTAATTAGGTGAAGGACTTGGAGTACACTGGTGATGACCACTTAATTTTTTTATCCATAAATGAAGTAACTTATAGAAACGTTAGCCCCCCTTGTGATACATAGAAAGTCATCTTTGTACGGTATAATTTAGCCTCTAATTTTATTGGAAAATAATCCAACTACAGGTATTTGGCATATAGCGGGTGGCATTGCATTCCAGCTATTTATCTCAGATTCCACAACCTCCAGTACTCTCTTCACCCACTAATTTATTTGATATTTTTCATTACTTGCTTCAACTTGGATTCTTTAAAAGTAGAAGTTTATTGGTGTAAGACTCATTAAAATGATGAAGTGCAGATGAGTAGTGAGATTTACAGACCTGTGGCTGTTAGCTGCTACAAAATATTTTTATAAGTCGTTTGTTTATTCAAAAAAAAATTTTTTTTTTTGCTAATTATTGCCACAAGTTCTTCGCAAATTTCAACGTATCTTTACGCTACTAATAAATAAAGCATTTAACATTAAACAGATGAGCTAAAAATGCTGATATCCACCTTGGTTTACAGAAAATGCTCCTGCTAAAGCATTTCTCGGAGTGGCGGCGTCAGACGTTACCCCCAGTAAGCACCAGAACAATGATAAAACATTATATTCCACTTTGTGGCGCAGTCAGTCATTCGCTTTATACTGTACATATATTTTCTCCCTCTCTTTTACGCAGGTTCTTTATAGTAACTTTCAAACATTTATTGTACTTGTTCTCATCCTTATTTATTTGTGACAGCGACTGCTTCAAAAATGAAAGCATTCAACTCATCGTAAAGCAAAATATTCAATCACTTTCCCAGTGCAAGTTAAATAATTAAAATTTTTTGAATTACAGGAGAAAGTTATTACCTTTCAAACATAAAGAAGCATGCTTAGTTTTGTAGGTTTTTTCCAACCTGCGATACTGCAGTAGAGCATACACTTTTGTCGACCGCTAATATTGGTCTTGGTTGTTATTTATTTTTTCGACCACACTTGAATCGGCTCAGAATATGGGATCGTGTTCAATGTAGTGTTCTCACAGCCGTTCTATTCAATTTTGGTTCGCTTTTGGCAGCAGTGTTTCTCAAGGCTTTGTTACCCACCAAGTAAAGTTTTTATTTAATTACTTATTTTGAATTAGCAATAGAAAAAAACAGCAAAAATAATCCCAAAAACCCTCACCACTGACTTCGGAGAGATCGAACAGCAGTTTCTCGTGCGCTATCAGCATTTAGAATACAGCCTAGAACCCATACTGAGACAGCTTTACCTAAAAAATAACTTTTTTATAATGATTCTAGCAATGATGTGTGCGAAGTTTTTCTAAACAGTTTATCTTACTAAGAGAGCTCAGTGAAAGCAGTGTAAAAATTCTGTTGAATCGGAAATTGGGCTGGGATTTTTACTGCTAAGGAAGAATCTGTCGGTTTTATTAGAAACTTTAATAGTAAACCTGTATTTCATATCAAAAAGCCCAGACTTAAAACACTTTTGTACACGACCCCTTCCCAAATGTCATGGACCACCTCCAATAACATGCATATTAAGCAACTTTAATACAGTGAACAGACCTTTTATGAGCTTTAAGTACGGGAAAGCTACGAAAATGTCAAGAACTAGACTGTGCATTTAGCGAAAGATTAGAAATACTCACCAAAGCTCCTAAACCTTCAACGAAACTTTCAAGAAAGCCATCGAATTCATGCATTAAAATTTTATAAACCGCTTACATCTGTCACTCTAACTATTAGTTATCAAAAAGAATCAATATTGCAGGTCCAGTAATACAATAAAGTCGTTGTTGGCTTTCGGTCTCAGTTGGTTACTACTCTCTCGAGGACACAGATATCTTGCACTAATTGACTCAAGAGTGAAGCGAAAGAATCGTGTTCAACAAAAAAAACTTCCTAAGCCACTGGAGGTTTTAGCAGCCATCTAACGGCAAAAAACTTAATGTAAATATGCACGCACAATCACCAGCTGTGTTTTTGTGTGAGCTTATCCAAAAAATTTTCCTAAATCTGATTCCGTCTTGCCGGTGAAATTTTTGCTCAAACTCATGTATATAAAGAAAGCCCGAATCTGAAAAGTGGGCAAGGTGGAACGCTTATATCTTTCAAATAATCTAAAATAATCAAAATGCGGGTAACGATATATTGGTTCTGCGGATCATCTTGTAACTTGAATACTGTTCAAAATTTTACACAACCAAGTTTTTACGGACGAAGAGCTATATAAAGAAGCATTCCGCCTTGTTATCAAATCATAAACCCTACTGATCCCATGCCAAGACACAGCAGAACGGAAGATTGGAAGAGAATTGAAGAAAAATGAATATACTGAGGAGAGGGCTACAGCTTTTCGTATTAATAGACCATTACTCCCGCCACACGACGATAATGCTTCATTGCAGTGTCCAGCGATCGAGAATAACTCATTCGTTAGTGTATGTAACAAAACATTTTGATTTGTAAAAGTGTGGAAGTGGGAATTTCAAAATTACCCATAATTGAATTAAATATCCGTAGTAACTGTCGAAACTGTAAATATCGAAAGAACAACAAATTCCCACCAAACATTCCGCATTTTACTCAATTTCAACCTTTTTGAGACTTACGTTACTGCCGATATTTCTCGAATATTCCAACGAATGATCATTCGTTTCTAAATGTAATAAAACGCCTGAAAAAATTTGTTAAAAAAACTATCACAAAACAAACTCTCAGCTTACAACGGAGTTAAAACTCAGAAAGAGGGACTGCAATTACAATAACAACACCCCACCACCCACTACCCAAATCCAGTACAGCCACAACGTCTCCCAGTTTCCACTTCACTTTTATAATAAATCTCCTATAATGGCAGCAAAGATTATGCTTAAACAACCAATCATTCGCAGAATATTATTACCTTCTCAAAATTAAGCCAAACAAAGAAAAACGAATTCTTCACAGAGTTTAAAACTTAGAAAGCAGTCCCTTCTGAAACACTTTTCATAACTATCAATAATAAAGTGAAAATAACGCAATTCAACAAATATACAAAAGAACAAGTATGGTGAGACCAACTGTGAAAAAAAAAACAATATAAACAAATAATGATTAGAAATGAGAGATTTTATTTATAATGTAAAGTCAATTCAGTACTAAAAAACCATGTAAAATTGACGAGATGTAATTCTTCATGTTATTAAGAAATAACAAGAGTATTTCTTACAGAAACACTTAAGAACAAAACCAAGCTATCACTGATGAAACTTATTTAATCAAGCACATTAAATGTTTTTTGAAAAATGTATTCAGGTAAGTGACCAAGCCACTGCTTACAAAAACCAAAGGAAAAACAAGAAACTTATTTATCCCCAGAGCTCTTCTGTGCGACCAAATTTATAAACTAAAGATGCTACAAAGATGAGAAAAATGTGCAAAAACAGTACAACTCCAGGCCAGTTCGCGTGATCGCCTGGAACAAGCACGTAGTCTTCCAGCATTATCCACATCGCAGCCACCAAAGAGGCAAAAGAAAGAACAAACCCACACATTAGCCATAGTCGAGAACCTAAAAACAACTCCAGTTCAAATAAAAACGAATAATAAGTAATGTTTAAAAGGACAAATAAAACACTTTTAACGGCAATAAAATAACTTAAATATCTGATCGGATAACCACTACCTTTCGTCCCTAAAATACCCTCCTGCATAGCTTCTCCTCTTACTTGACTATTTGAAACAGCATTGATCCTGAAAAAGAGCAAATAAAAAAAATTTGGCATGAGATGTAAGTTGAGGGTCGGTAAAAATGCCTAGAAACCAACCATAACTTCCTTTAAACAGAAAGAGGCGCTTACATAAACATTGCCACTGTTGCAAAAATAGTAACTATGATATAAACGTTAGACCAATCTTTTGGAGAGTATACAGCTGCAGTATCAATCATGAGCCACCATCCAGCAAAAAACTTAAATACAATGTTTAAAAAAAAAA